AAAAAAAAAAAAAAAAGAAAAAAAAGAAAACAATTCTTTGAGAAACATGAAAATATCGACTGCATTTAGCGGACTCAGTAGTTGATATGTCACTTAGTGCTTGCTGGCTGTGATTGGTCTATCTTCTTCTAAATCTTTTTCAAGAGCAAGGCCAAATCACAGACAGTAAGCACGTAATGTGATCGTTCGCTTATTGAATCCGTTGAATTCGGCCGAATGTCGCGCCGGCAATGGAAACAAATCAATAAGAATTTGTGTTCTATAAGACTTTTGTTGCAAGTTACAAGTACATACTTTCATATAGTTACATCGTCGCATGTAGATTTTATTTCGCAGACGTATAAATCAATATAACACAATAAAATATTGCAGATAAACGTTTAACCGCAAATCGTACACAATTTGAGTCGATCTTTGATAAAAAAAATTGTTTTAATTAATACACATACTAAAAACAGAATTTATTATCTTTGACGCACTTTAACACATATTAATGTGCTACATGTGCATATGCCATATTTTTTGTGCGCAATAAGAACGTTCTGCTCTGAATAACTGTCTTATTTTCTTTTCTTTTTTATTACGTGAAAGTCTTAAACTTGTATCAAATAACGGTAGGGGCGTATTAAAAATATAGTATAATTTATTTTTATGTATGAAAAAAATCACTCAAATTTCTCTATTGTGACTTCGTACTATGATTGCAACGAGAACTTAAAAAAAAGATTCTAAAATTTTATAAAGTTAATTTTTATACAATAAAAAATCTCAAATATTATATAGTTATTATAGAGAGAGAGAGAGAGAGTAGAGAAAGAGAGCAAGTAATAGTAGTAATTGTGCATGCTGCTAGCTTTTACACACTAATCAAGACTCAATGACAAACCGTAAGTTCTTAATAAGTAAAAAAACGTGAATGTATAGGTCGCACATGATATACAAAGATAGTCATTTTAATCAATGTGTCCTCTCTGTTACATCACATAGAAAATTGTGTGTCTTATTATATTACTTATAGATCTATTTTATTTCTTATAAAATTATATATACATACGAGAACAAAATAACATCAGTTGAATGAAGAAACACTTACTGGTTGATGGCTGTGGCTGCGAAGAAGTAGAGACGGTAGAGACGGCTGGAAAATTTGAGGCAGATTCGGAATTCGTAGGTGGTTGTGGTTCCACAGATTCTTGTAAGGGTGCGTTAGAAGGAACAGTAGACGTAGGTTGTACAGTTTTAACTTGAGGTGATGTTTGACTTGCACTTTGCTGATTTACTTCAACTTTTGGCTGATCCACCGGTGCGGCTGACTGTCCGCCACTCTGAACAGCAGGCGGCCGATACGTTTGTCTTTTGGCGTAACCGGTTTCATTTTTGAAATTCATCACCGCGTTACGCAAAAATCTATTTGGAATAAGAGTTTCTGGCGAAACGTCTCTTTCGTTACAGTCTGGACACTCATGCTCTTCAGATTCTAACAAAAATGTGCGAATGCCTGTTACATATGAGAGAAAATAATGTTAAATAGCAACAATGATCTATAAGACATATGAAAGGATGAGTTCGTAATTAAATTACAACAAAAAACTTACACTCGTCACAAAAAGAATTTCCACAACAGGGAATCATTACAGCATCTGTTAAAAGATCTTTGCAAATATTGCATAACAAATCGTCTGGTATCTCTGGCTTTTCCGCCACAGGTTCTGGATCTTGCGAAAATGGTGGTCGTTCCTTCTTGCCTTCTTTATAAGCTTGACTAAAAAGAAAACCACATTCAGATAATCACGTACAAATGCATTACATGCATAAATGTATTTCCTTACATCTTAAAGTTTTTAGTGCTCTTTTATGTATATTATATGTACTTTATAAAGCTTACTGATCGATAGCAGGAACAGCATAGTGTCCTGTAGGTGTCATCATGGCACCAGGTACTAGAGGTCCCTCAACTGGTACCATAAAACTTCTGGGAATGCCTGTACTTTTCTTTATTTCAATCGGTTCCTGATTTGTACCAAGTGGACAGTTTTTTATCCAATGTCCAGGTTGATGGCATTTATAGCAACGATAATTAGCAGGTACATCACCAGTTTGATTGGCTCCACGAATCTTCATGTAACTGTGAAAATATCATTTCTGTGTTAAGAATCTGCTTATTTTAATCACTATATATGGTTGTAATTGTATAAAAAGATCTGCAATATATATATGGTGAACAATAAAAGTACTTAAAGTAGCATACTTTGATGGGTCATAGTCTTGAGTAGATTGCGTCATCATTGCACGGATTTTATCTTCCTCGGATCCATCTAATCTTGTAAGATCTACAGCTCTGCCCAAGTTGGCTTCGTCTTTAACATTACTAAATGGTGGTGTTTCATTTCGATCCCAAGAACGCTTTTGTTGCACTGTGAGTGGAACTCTAGCAACTATGAGACTAGTATTTTTGGCAATTAATGCATTATCATCAGTATAATCTATAAGAATATGGATTATATATTAGGCTTTTTTTTATTTAAAGTTTGTAAGCAGTAGAAAAAGGTAGTTAATAAAATAATAGATATTTGCCTTCTTTTGTCTGTGCATTTATGATTTGTAGATCAAAGTCTGTATTTTTGCCAATGCGTTTCTGATGAAATATAGCCTTCTTTAGATCCGCTACTGAAATATGTAGCCCATCAAATGACACAGTGTCATAGTCTAATGTGGATTTAAATTTATAATGTACAGACATTGTTGTTGCTAACAGCCTGAAAATACAAATACAATCTTTAATATCGTAGCAAAACAAGGTATTACACAGGGAAAATACATGATACAAATAATTATTTATTAATCCTCTTTGAAAACATTTATTACTGAACAAAAAAATAAATATTGACAAATTTATCCTTTTAGAAATTTGTTAACTTTAACAATTTTCAAGTTCACACATGTACAACTTTATTTGATCAATATTTCATCTTATTCCTATTAATACAGTTAATAAGACCTAATACGAGCAATTTATAGTATCCTCATTTTTCCCACATTGCACACATACACACACACACACACTCACGTATCGCGCGCATCACACACACACACACACACACACACATATACACCCATATATATATATATATATATATACAGAAAAGCGGAAATCACATATACCTTTTCTAATAACGATCTTGGATAATTATGATCACAGAAATCGCGTGCGTATAGGTTGTACTGCGATCAGCTGCAACGTAAACGGCTTTTCCTCAATTAGATCAAACCCGAGTGACAACGTTCGATTGTGATGTGTATGCACGAGCAACACACAATCTCCTATGGCTGCAGCCATACATACATACACACGTACGAAAAAAATTGCACTCGAGTAATCACTGCGTGATCCCCCCCGAGCGTCAGTTTTTACAAAGCTGGGGAATGGGTGCGAGAACCGGCGGTGGCGGCAGGAAGTGCGAACGCAATGCGGTGTGCGACAAGAATTCAACGTAATGCATGATAAATGCAATATATCATCAACAAATGTGCTCTGTGCTCCCGATACGATAACCTGTATTCGCGTTTCACGTTAAACGATCACAACGGCGAACACCGACGAGCTTCATGGCTCGTTCTTTTCCTCGAAAACCTCAAAATTAAAAGCACTACGGAGCACTATTGACGAGAAAACTCACCATGTGCCTTGAAAAAATGTTCACGATAAATCACACGAAACACGTAGTCGCCACACCGAAGACGTTTGTCCTCCGTTTCATGATACGATTTGATAGATGCTCCAAATGCCCGCAGTGCTCTGGCCACTCTGACGCATACGTATGAGATACGTTCCATTTGGCGTAGCGATCAGTCGCACGGGGATTGGTCCGGGCTCGCAATCGTCCAATCGCATTGATCGCACTCGGCAAATCGATCAATAAGACGGAGTATTGTAAATCCGGCTTACGCTCGCGATTGATGCGAACGTCGAGTTCGGAACTCATTCAAATCGTTGTGAGAGAAAGCTAAGTAGAATTTCTCTCCCTATTTTTTTATTAAAGCTTTCAGTGCGCATGGCATGGCACATATGCCTGAGAAAGAGCGGTTTGACTGACTGTGCGCCTGACACAATTCTGAAAGCGGTGATTCCGCATTTTGAGTTTCGTGTAAAGTTGATGATAATGAGATGAGAAAAACTTGACGAAAGATGAAATTGGTAACTATACCAGTTTACTCTATTTAAATAATAACAAATGTACGCTTTTGTGTGATGTAAACAAATTTGTATCGTAATTCTTCAATGTACTTTTATCAACGGAACGGTATACTTGATAAATCTGTTTTTGCGATTTTTTCTATGTAGCTCTTCATTCATTTCAAAAGTAAACATTGTCACTGGATACTGTATATATAAACACTCGTTTCTAAGAATAGAGTGTCTAAAGTAGATATTTATTCGAATTAATATAAATTGTGTATATAACAGAAAGAATTGAAATTTTTTATTTATAACCATGAAATACATATAATAATTGAAATCGTGAATAATTTAAACCATGAAAATCTTTTTATTTTTAGTACTGCCTGTCCAATGATCCCACAAAGCCATGTTTGGTCCTAACTTTCAAAGGGATCACACTGATGTTGGACTGCGGCCTGAACATGCAGTCCATTTTGCATTTCATGCCCTTGCCCATGGTCCCTAGCAGCAAGTTCAATTCTTTGCCAACATGGTTACCACGTGACACTCAGCAGGATTGGCAAGTTGAAGGGGTCAGCATCTCATAAATATTTCCAACATTTTCTAAAATGTTCTTTAAGAGTAATTTTATATAAACAAATATCACTTGTGTTTCAAGGAGCTGAAGGAATGTTGCGGTAGAGTGTTTGTGGATTCCACGCCGGAGTTTTACCCTCCTTTAGAAAAAATTATAGATTTCTCAGAAATTGATGCTATTCTAATATCCAATTATACTTGTATGCTTGCTTTGCCATTTATAACGGAAGGTACAGGTTTTAAAGGTACGATATACACACACATATATAAAATATAAATTATTGAATTTTTAATACAGTATGTTAAAATGCAACACAAATTTTTTTAAAGGTGTAATATATGCCACTGAGCCAACTCTACAAATTGGTCGGTTTTTTATGGAAGAACTGGTAGAATTCATAGAGCAAACTCCAAAGGCGACGCAAGCCAAACATTGGAAAGAGATGTTGCATATGTTTCCATCTCCATTGACAGATGTGATCAAGCCTAAATCCTGGCGACAAATTTATTCCACGGCAGCTGTAAATTCGGCGTTGTCGAATATTCAACTGGTCGGATACGACCAGAAATTGGTAAAGATAGCAATATATAAGAACACAACATATCTCGAAACACATACTGCATTCTTCTTTTTCTTAAATATTTAAGTATAACATATGAACTGCAGGATATTTTCGGGGCTTTAACAGTTACACCGATCAGTTCCGGTTATTGTTTGGGTAGTAGTAACTGGCTGATCTCCTGCGATCACGAAAAAGTTGCTTATGTTAGTGGTTCATCTACGCTAACCACCCATCCGCGACCTATGGAGCAAGCCACGCTGAAACACGCGAACATGTTGATACTGACAGGCTTAACGCAAACGCCAACTGCTAATCCTGACACAATGCTAGGAGAATTGTGCATGACTGTTGGTACGTATAAAATATATAAAATCATCACATTCTGTTACTTAAACAACCACTTAAATCAAAAATTAGATTTTCTCTAAAGATTATATAAACATAGAAAAATTATCTTTATTACTCTAAATAGCGAAAATTTTTAGCAATGACTCTTCGAGCCGGTGGATGTGTTCTTATACCTTGCTATCCTTCCGGCGTTGTGTATGACTTATTCGAATGTCTGAGCACTCATCTGGACAAATCAGGTTTCACACAGGTACCTCTGTTCTTTATCTCGCCAGTAGCAGAGTCATCTTTGGCATATTCTAATATTCTTGCGGAATGGTAATCGAGAATTTTACAAATTTTACAAATTGATATACCGCTTTCTATTTTTCTTTCTATTTCGGTTATTCTTTAATCTTTATTTTTAGGTTGTCGACAGGCAAGCAAAGCAAAGTTTATCTTCCGGAGGAGCCGTTCCCGCACGCGTTTCTCGTGAAAAACGCCCGTCTGAAACATTACACATCCACGTATGCTGAAGGATTCAGTAACGACTATCGACAGCCGTGTGTGGTTTTTTGCGGCCATCCGAGTCTCCGATTCGGCGATGCGGTGCACTTTGTGCAGTTGTGGGGTAACAATCCCCTACACACCATTATTTTTACGGGTAATAAAATAATAATAATAATAAATATCTTATATACTCATACATTGCACATGTTTTATTTATTTACTTGTTTATTTTGTCTCGCAGAACCCGATTTTCCCTATTTGGATGCTCTTGCACCGTTCATGCCGTTAGCCATGAAAGCGGTGCACTGTCCTATCGACACATCCCTTAACTTCACTCAAGCCAACAAGCTGATACGAGATTTGAAACCGGAGCACCTAGTTATTCCGGACAGTTACACACAGCCTCCTCTAACGGCAACGCACAGAACGGATCTTGTCATCGAGACCATTGAAGTTAGTATCATTAATTTATTTTTATTCAGCTTTTACCAAATACTACAATCAAATTTTATGTTACAACTAATGTAAGCAGAAATATGATGCTTAAAGAAATTTACAAGTTTTTTGTTTTGTTTTTTTTTTTTTTTCAAGGAAAAACCTCTGATTACATTTAAACGAGGAGAAGTGGTAAAATTGCCGTTAAAGCGAAAAAAAGCCCGTGTGTATATCGAGCCGGAATTAGCTAGCACCATTGTACCAACTGAAATTCGGCCTGGTGTTAGTCTCGCCTCTGTTATTGGAGAGCTAGAAGTCAAGGATAATGTATACACTATAAAAGTAAGTAACAATTTTTCATAAGAAAAGATAAATACACAAACTAAATCAATAAATAGACTTACCTTTGTACTTAACGGAGCCGTATATTTGTTGTAAGATAAATATACAACGGTTTTATAGTTAGAATGTAATTTTTACGACGTCTATTCAAGAGATATCCGAGAGAAATAATAAAATCGCAACATATAACTGTTTTATCGAAGATTTAAATTTACAGAATATAGAGGACAGATCAAGCGGAAAGAGAAAGCTATCGGCGAGCTCGCCTGCACCCATCAAAGAAGAAGTTATAAAAGAACAAAAACACGATTATGGAAAAGTAGATCCGCAAGAATTGTTGCAGAAACTCAACCAAGAGGGCTTTCAGGGTGCGAAGTTGCAGCATACTCCAACATCTACGAGTATTCATTTGGTATGTTAATGCAATATATTTTTTTTTCAAATATAAAGTAGGATTAATCTAAAAATTCTATCAAAAGTTGCAAACATAAACATTTGTACTTGCAGCAAGATGAAGATACTTTGATTCAGTTGGCAGACAATTCCACGCATATTTTCTGCAACGGCGATCAGAAAATTCGCAAGCGCATCAGGAGCATAATAATGCAGTGTTTGAAAAGGTTTTGATACAGAATACAACGTAGTATTCTCTTTAACATCTTGACATGTCGCGAGACAATGGTGCATACTGTACAAACACACTTTATGGACATTTTTATTGTTTTGTAAATAAAACATACGTGCGTAAATAAAATAATCTTTCATCTCACTTATTTTTTTAAACTATAAACTCGGATTTGGCAGACGATATTTTATCGTAGTTTTAGAGCCTGGCACGAGGCCTTGAAGATCTTCCATCTGGCCAAGCGCTTCCTCTTCAGGTAACTTCTGATTATTTTAATAACACACAAATTTTTCTTTTATTTTCAAGCTTTTATTGCGATGCCACATGACTGACAAGATAAAAATAAAATGATACACGGGTTGCAAAACAGAAAACTTGTTAAACCATTTTTATTTGTAAACGATATAATGCCTCGATGTTTATAAATATAAGCAATATGACTATAAATGTTATTAATGTTTCGCGAATTGAGTGTACATAAATAACGAAAGTTGGCAGTCAGTCGGGAGTAACAAAGTCGAGAACTTGCAAGGGAGGACTTTTTTTTACAACAATAAGTTACAATATGAGGAATAATACAAGTTTATAATTATATTATTCTGTAAATACTTTCATCTTAGAATGACTTAGAATGACTAAATCTCTTGTTGCATCCCGATGAAACGAGAAATTCTTTATACGAACACCATTACATGTATTCTATTTTTTTTTTGTTCATCTAAATCGCGAGTAGTAATAATAAAATCAACGATACACTGAATTTTCTTTTTCAGATAAAGATCATTAAGAGTACAACTACTTTTCTAACATATTTAAGCGTAGTTTGTGCCACTCATTTCTTTATTAACGTTGCTTCGTCCATGATATTGTTGTACTCACAGACGACATTTTTATTATGATTGACAATAATGGTACAGTCGTTATTGTATTCAAAGTGCGGACTCTTATTACGTGCTATTACTTGGCAGTGGCAATGCCAAGCGCAACACCCGCCGCGAACGAGACTAGAAAGAAGTGAAGTTCTTGCAGCTGAAAACTGTCGTCTTCCCCGATACCGATCAACTTGTGATACCAACGTCGCGTCCGTTGTTCTCCTTGTTTCAGCAATCGTTGAGTTTTGTCTAGCTTTTTGTCGATGTATCTCTCGACCTGAAACGCGATTATTTTTGTCAGTAAATCGAAGTCGTAGTCGAAAGGAAATTGGCAAGGGATCTTTGTTTTTTTTGTATCGAGCTTAATTTTATTATAACTGTCTCTCGTCAAAAATCATACAAAAATTATAATCAGCAGCATTTATTAAAAACTTAATTATTTATGTTATTTTTATGTGAAGAATTTGGCTATATATTCATGTATATCACTGTAATCGCGCAGTTATTGTATGTAACAGTAATAGTATGTACACATACTAAATGACATAATTTTTGCACAAAACTTCAAAGTTACTCTTATTTATTCTCTACTTCACCAAGACAGACCAAGAAAGAAACCACCGAGAAAACTTGCGGCAAGAAGGGAGTTCTTTTTCCAGAGTTTTCCTACCTGAAAAGACAGAAAAATATCTTTGAAATGACGATCGATCTTTTCAATTGAAAACATTTTGAGACAAAGAAAATTCTATGTTACAAAAAAAAAAAATAATTATAAATTTTTAAAATTATAAGCGACAGATCAAATTGTCTCGGTTCTATGATTATTTCAAATAGATGATGAAAATTTTCAAGAGTCTCTAACATGACGTAATCTTTTATAGTAGTTACAACACAGCATTTCTTACCTTATCCATCATATCTGCTTTTTCACCGGTAATCTTTTCCTCAACTTTGTCTGTTATTTTTTCAGCTTTGTTCTTGATCTTGTCCCAATTAATCTTTATATAACCCTGATCAGTGGCAATTTGCAATATGATAATTCCACCGCCAACCGCGCAGGCTGCTACCTTCCCTACTTTCATAGTGACGAATCCAGTTATCCTAATTTGCAAAAGTGTTAGCAGTTAGTACAAAACGACAAGTCAGAGAATTAGATGTAATTATATTACAAATTCAAATAGATAGATACCATCCGGACGCACTGCCAATGAGAATCTGTTTGGTCGCGGAAGACTTGCTTATATCCCCAAAAACCTTTTCCACTAAAGGCTTTACATCCTTCGAAGTATCTGTAGAGGATTTCTTGTTCGCAATTTCTTTACTGGTTTTAGGCGAACTCATCTTGCTGAAAAAATGCAATCAGTAAAGAAATACACATTTGTGGAGAAACCAATTGCAACTTATTACTCCACAAAGTTGTTTCAGTTGCAAAACAAAAATATGATACAAATATACAAGTGAATCTCATATGTACATAAAAACAATTCTTATAACTTGTATATATAACGCGCAGATTAAAAAATAACGAAAATATCACATTTTTTGTTTCAAATCTCCGATTACATTTAACAACATTTAACAATCGTTCTATCAAATTGTATTATTGTTACACTAAGACAAAGAGGGAATAAAAATTGAAAATAGACTATTATTGTCACGCGTTATTGACGCGATCAGACATATAACTGTAAATGTAAATGTGTCGATGACAAAGTTATGAGGAATTTATCATTCATCTTGCGAAAGGAACAAAATTATCGGAAACCAAGAAGAAATGTTAATGAATTACTCTGGCAACTCAAATGGTAACGTTAGAAAAGAAAGTTATTGAATACTTCTTAAAATGTTGCGTACAATTGTTTTTTTCAAAATATATATAGAATATATCAATACCTGTGCAAGGCTCACCTTTGCAAAAAACCTCCGAGATATAAATTTATTGAAAGTAAGTCACACCTCGTCGAGAGTAATCTGTCAAGATCGAATCATCGAACGTAAATTCCGTCGAAAGCCGTTAAATATCGGTGATTTGATAATTTACGGCTACTCGCGCGCGAGCAGACAGTTCTGAAAAGATATACGGCACTGAATCGTTTCGTCACAGGGGAAGACAGCTCCCCTACTTCCCTTCTATATGCCAATACGCCGTATCTTTCTTGCTGTCTTAACCGCTGCCAGTGGCTGTCAATCGGTCGCTGACAGCTAGATTAAAACGGAGCGTAGAACGGGACTTTTCGTACCCTTTCGTGAAACAATTCAATGCCGGTCTTTGACCATGGAAATACTCTAGACCCTGTTTTTTTGTAAACAAGACGTATCGCGTCTCAATCGACCAATTGACCATTGTGGGAACGAAACTATGCACATATATTATTGAGGCAAACTGCGCATGCGGCGTGGAAGTGACTGTTAAATCCACAACTTCCTATATATTGTTGTCGTCTAGTCATCCAACGTGTCACCACGTTTTTAAATGGTTTTTAAAGTCATTCACTTCTCATTAGAGTAACTCTTCTGATCAAAGAAAACTCCGCAAAAATGACAGTAAGTGTTGCAACTTTTTGCATCTAATATTTTTCTCACGATTTTTATTCTTAATTAATTAATTAATTATATTTAAATATGAGTTTCCGTAAGGAAACGTTTCTACTTGATTTTGTGCTGAGTTTGTGTGAAAGTAATTTAAATTTTTCTACGTATATATTATTGTCATTAACAAAAATCTGTAGGAATTGTGAAAATAACATTTATGAAATAACAAATTTTACATCCACGTGTCAAACTTATCATTTTGTGCAGGTGAAGAAAGGTAAAGTACTTACTAAAGGAGCTAAGCAGATAATGGAAGATAATACTTCCACGTTAAAGTTCTATGCCATTATGGCTATAAGCGCAATGGTTGCTCACGTCGGTGTGACATTTGTAATGTTTGAGTTCACAACACTGACAATAGTAAGTTTTGTTTCTTAGACTCTCGATTAAATGCTCCAATGCGCCAAACACATTAAACTTCTTGTATTACAGGTTCTAGTTGTATTTTCTTTAATTGTATACGCAGCAAGCTATCAGTTCATGTCGTACATGGCCAATCCAAAATATTCCAGTTCTGGTCAGCTCTTAGATTCAGGTGTTGATCTTGACATGGAAGGTGGTATAGGAGAGTAAGAATCTTTCTATTGTTCTTAATGTGTCATGTATTCTCTGTGATTTTGCTGTTTAGTATCTAAAGTATCATTACTCTGTTTATAGACATGTCAAAGATGTAATTATATTAACATCTGGAGTGCAAGTTCTGTCTCTTTTTTCAAATTACTTCTGGCTCTTCTGGCTTCTGGTATGTATCTTATATATATATATATATATAAAAAAATAATAATTATATCACTCTCTTTGTTTTAAATAAATTCAGAATAATTTTGTTCGAATAAAAATTTAAAGTTCTTCAAATATTGTATATAAAACTTTTATCTACTCTACATGGAAAATTTACAGGTGCCATTGAGAGGTGGATGGTTGTTCTGGAAACAGATACTGGGGCCATGGTTCTTTGCCCAGCCATCAGAACAACCTGAAATAAGCGAAAAGAAACAGCGCAAGATGGAGAAGAAAATGGCAAGAAAAGAAACTAAACGATTCTGAGATGCCTGAAATCTTTTCAGGCATCGTAATGCAAACAATTCTATGGACTCAACAGGAAGATCGGAAAGAGGAAAGAAAAAAGAATTCTCTCCTTCCGACATGTCTAGAAGTGTGGGCAGGGTGGTTCGGCATTTACAATAGAATAAATACAAAATTGAACGGAATTTCGAGATTCGCCGATTTAGCTCGACAAAGATGACTACAGAAAATTTTGAAGGCTCGAAAGTTGCCGAGGTAAATTTCATCTTTACTGAATCTAGGAAGATCTCACGTAAGATTGAGACACTTCTTGTATTCAATATCTCTAGATTTACTTCTATATGAGTCGAAAAAGACTGATGTAAAATGACGATTAAAATGTTAAATTTATTAATAAATTGAATTTTTATACAATTACATTGTGTGTAACATTCGGCTTGTATAGAAATCAAATCGTAAAAATTAATAGACAACTGTTTCAGCATGTTGATTTTTCTGTATTTGTCTATACACGTCTTCATTAATTACAATACTATTGTTAATACTTTTTTTAAAATATATATTTTTTTAATCTATGTATATATGTATATACATATGTGTGTATATATACACATATTTTACAGTGTCAGAGAAGCGCCGTTATGGGATGTAGTTTTGTTCATTGAAGCCATTCTAATGTTAAAACATACAATTAAAACCTATTTGAACTGAAAATAGTCTTCTACGTAGATGTCCACCTGGATACATTGCAACTATCAACTATCGACTGACGACGGGCAATTAGGAATAGATTTAACAAATCAAACCGCATCGTGCGAGAACATGTGCGCGCGACTGGTCTCATCGAATTCGCGACGATTCAGGCAGAACGAATGCTTGATAACTCGTGGAACAAAAACTTGACAGACGTCAATAGGCATTGTAATTGCACGTGGACAAAACCTGAGCATTGTGAGAATGTGTTGTTGCGCGATTTTAACAGTTCCATTGTGTAAAAGTTCACTCTTTGGCACAAAAACTTACTTTTGATTTTTTGATCAAGACATATCAATCTATACAATCAGCAATGTGATTCAGCAAACTCGGCAAATTCAAAAATTTCATCTCGCACTTTGGACACAATTGAAACTTCGTCGAGGAAGTATTCTGCAATAAAGTTTGATTTATTAGCGTGCAATTATGGACACGTTCCGTTTCATGCATATGCGCGCACGATCTATAGTATACATAACATGAACTATGGATAAATGCGCGCATATGCAGGAACGGAACGCATTTTATCACTATATTTACAATTCATATAAACATCATATCGCAAATAAGAAGCACATCAGATCGCTCTTAGAAAGTTAAGCTGTAATAAACACTGCTGTGAGGTGACAAGTTTGCGTTAGTCATACATTCATGTAACACACATTTTGTCCGTTTTTTGTACCAATGGAACTACATCATATCGCAAATAAGGAGCACATCGAATCCCTAGAAAGTTGAGTCGTAATAAACATTGCTGTGAGTTTGCGTCAGTGATACATCCATGTACCATACAGTTTGTTCATTTTTTGTACCAATGGAACTACCTCTATCTGTAGTCTTCTAATAATTATTAAATACACATATTATGTGTATGTAATATTTTGTAAACTTTATAATTTTTTTTATCAAAACTTCAGACTTAGAAGAAGCACACCACGCACTGTGATGTGTACTAAAAACTTCATTTTTATTATTATCTTTACAAGTCATGGGATCAAACTAACTTAAATGCAAAAAAAAAAAACAAAAAATAAAATAAAGAGATATAAAAGCGTTATTTTTTTATCTAATTTGTGTTATAATTAAATTGTTTTAAGCACGTTGTAAATCACAACGGACGTTATTTTAGATAGCGATTAAGGATAGTAGTATTTTTGAAGAGATTTAATAAACAGATTTTTGTGTAAAAGAAATTTTCTTTTATTATTTCTTTATACCTCTTTTGGGTTTATTACCCAATTATTTCTTTTATATCTCTTTTCTACAATAGAGGTATAAAGAAATAATAAAAGAAAATTTATTTTGATAATGACTTAAAGTTCGTTGAAATTAAACCAAGAAATATATAAGGCCTTACGAGCCGTTCCCAGGATGTTAAGCGGAAACTGTACGTGTATATATATATATATACGCACATGTAACGAGTTCAACTTGTAAATTTTTACAAGTGAGTATTTTTTGAATTGAAATCTCAATTCTTAAATTCATACGGGATGCTGGATTTGCATCTCACATATGAGAGACCCCGGATGCCCCCTAACTAATTTTTAAAATATTGCGAAAAAAACTCCTCGGCCAGGAATCGAACCTGGAACTTCCAGCTTTCCGTGGCACGTCCGTAAGGTCTTGTATATTTCTTGGTAAAATTTATTTTCTTTTAAAAACTCTGGTTTTATTAAATCTCTTTAAAAATACTACTATCCTTAATCGCTATTTAAAATAACGTTCGTTATGATTTACAACGTGCTTAAAACAATTTAATTATAACACAAATTAGATCTAAAAAAACTTTTAGTTCTTTTTTTGCATTTAAGTTAATTTGATCCCGTCACTTGTAATGTAAAGATAATAATAAAAATGAAGTTTGTAGTATCCATCACAGTGCGTGGTGTGCGTCATCGCGTGCTTCTTCTAAGTCTGAAATTTTGATAAAAAATTTATAAAGTTTACAAAATATATTGCATACATAATATGTATATTTAATGATTAATAATTTTGTATATTTAATGATTACTATGTATACTTATGATTAACATGTATTTGTAATGATTAATAATAATGTTTTGAGAAAATCCCCTAAAGAGGTATACAGTCGAGTCGTGTTATTGTTAACACGTTTGTCCTAACTATTCTCGTTATTGTTAACACGTTTCTTCATCCCCATTCTTGAACTTACATATAAAGTGGGAGAAGTTATTATCGAGAGGAAGCGTGTTAACAGTAACGCGATGCTAACATAATATAGGATTATGATAAAAATAGAAAAGTGTGAATGTCTTAAATAAAAGGATTCAGAAAAAAACCCGGAGATGGAACGTAAAAAAATATACAAAATATTCAGGAGAAGACTTATTAGCATCGCATAAAGATAAGTAAATATTATATTTTTTACTAATATAAACATATTTTTTATGAATATAAACGTATATATTTTAGGAATATTATAAACGCATTCCTTACTTCGTCTTCAAATGAGTTTGACGCATTAGGATGTCTACGAAGAATCGGCCCATTAACTTTTTGTTGTAATTGTTTATTAAATTCCACTTGCTTTTGCAATTCTTTTTCTAATTTATTTTTCTCTTCCAACAGCGATTCTTTTAATTTTCTTTCCTGGTCGAAATCTTCTTCGTACAACTTTAATTGCGATTTCAACACAACAATTTCTTCCGTCTGTATATGAAAAAATTAATAAAAAATACTAGTAATATAAAATGTAGTACAGATTATATATTTGTTTATATAGAATTTATAAGTGTTCGAGCGCGTAATATTAAAACAAAAAACAAGTAAATTAATATTTTTATATACTTACACGTTGTGTAATTTGCTCTAAAGCTATCGCAAATTGGTTATTTGTTCTTTCGAGTTCTTGTTGCATTTTATCCGCCTTGTCTACTAAGTCCTGGAAACGGGAAGTCAATAACTTTTTCTCTTGTTCCAACATTTGTTTTGAATTTTCGTACAAGTAACTTTGCTGATCCAAAGACATTTTCTCCTCGTTCAACCCGATTTTCTCTTGCGCCAGAAGTTTCTTTTCGTTGTAAAACGACTCTCGCTCCGTTTCCAAGCTCTGTTTTTGTTGTTCGAGTAACATTTTTTCTTCCTTCAAAATGTCTTTCTCTTGTGCGAAAGTGCTTCTTTCTTCCTGCAACAATCGCTCCTCGAGGTTGATGCGCTCTATCTTCTCTGATATTTGCAAACTTTCGCGCATCGTGTTATCTTTCAAAATTTCCAATTTTGCATTCTCATTAATCATTAATTCCAGTTCGTAAAGAATGGATTTATATTCCGAAAGCATCTTGTGAAATTGATTTTGTGATTTAATCAAAGTCTGTCTATCTGTGATGATTTTTACTTGCTCGTCGGCTAACCGTTGGCGACAATAGCACAGCTTTTGTTTATAATCGTTAAGCTGTACTTCTAATTTACTATCATCAAGTATTGTAAGTACATCAGCACTCTCTTTTAAAACTTGTTCTATAACATTAAAGCGTTCTATCTGTGCCGTAAAACATTCCGTTAGTTCTTGTACTATATTGTTATATTGCTTCGTAATTTGTGTGATTTTTTGACGACTGGGTATCGACAAATTCGTCAAATCTGGTAATTGAACCGGAGTAAAAGTCTGTAAAATACAAGATATCGAGATAATTTAGATTTTTTCCTCAATATGGTTTTATCTGAAAATATTTTTGGCAAATTGAAGTATCACTATACGAAGACGTACACATTGCAATTTTTGTTCAAGTATAGCAACGGATTTCTGCAAGTCAACAATTTTTTTATCCTTTGCAAAACATGCTTCTGAGCATGTCTGACTTTCTGGAATTTCTGTGACAATTTCACTGCAACTCAATTTGTTTGTCGCGTGCGATTCTTTCTCTACATTTGATTCCAGTTTGTTATGTGGCTGTTCCTCCTCAGCTTGCTTAGATGTTATGTAGCTACAATCTTTTAGTGTTATCTCACCAAATTTTGATAAGCTTTGCTCAAGTTCTTCCGCTTGGGAAGCATGAGAAAGTGTGAGACTATTGGATCTATTGATTGCCTAAAAACAAAAAATTTATAACATTTATAAGTCTGTAGACATATTGAGACATATGTCTATGTACCTCAAATCCCATGCTGTCAGTACACTGTAAATGTGCAAGTTTTGTTTTCAGCTCGGCATTTTCTTTCTTGAGATGTTTAATTAATTCTTTTGTTTCTGCAAATTTCTGCTTATGGCTATCGTGAACTTTTGTTACTTCCTCTTGCCACGACATCAACTTAGTGAAATTTTCCATCAAAAAGACATTGTTCTGTTTCAATGTTTCTTTCAGTTTTACATTTTCCTGCAATATTTCGGTAAGTCTTTGTTGCATCTCCTCTGCATTCATTGACGAAATCATCGATTTGTAATCCTACAGTAAGAAAAAAATCTTACTTTAGTTTTTTATTCATAAGTGAAAAATAAGAAATGCAATAGAATAAAAAACTGCAATATGTACAATGGACATGCTTTTCTGGCGAATATCAACATAAGAGGCTAACAAGGAAGCTTGGGCCTCCGCATCCTGTATATCCATTGAATCTTTCCCTAATATTACAAATGACAAACTGCTATTGTCTTGATTGCAACTTGGTGTAAAATTATCACTTGTTGTCATTAAGCTTGTATTTAAAACTGTAACTGGATCATTTAATTTAAATGAAGGTATATTGTTCTTCACATCTTTTTCTTCGTTTTTGTTATCTTGAGTCGAATCCATCTTGTAACACTTCAATTGAAATTGTCAAGTTACCTCATAGAATCATGTAGAGATTAATCTTAAACTTAATAATCTGTAATTAATACATTAACATATTACTTTACTAATAATCAATCCAAGCAAAAGTAAATATACATATGTTTATCAATAAAAAAAATTAAACTAATGTAAATAACATTTCAAATATAAAAAAACTACATAATATCTTTATCTGCATATCTCTTGTTTATGTTTATTAACTCACTAAGGATAAGTTCCACTTGCCGTTCGTAACGCTCATGGAATCATTTCGTTTTTGTTTTTCATTGAAAGTGAAACAAAAATAGAATAATGAGCTCACGGGTGTTGCGAACAGCAAGTGGAACTTATCCTATAAATGAGTTTGGTTTGGTGCATATGTGGCTCAAAGGACCGTCCTATAAATGAGTCAGTATTATTTCTTAGAAAATAAACTTTAAGTGTGTTAGTTCTTAAGAAATAAATTTGTAATAATTATGTGTTTTGCTGATAAATAATACATATAATAAAATCCATAATGTGTTATTCAAAATAAGATTGCATTAGATTAATTTCCGTATTAAAATTAATTTCTACTAGATTAATACTATAATAGAATTAGACGCAATCACTCGTCTTCTACACTTCTGAAAATGTCAGTCGATTTTTACTATCCGCACATTTGTTCCAAACGATATGCAATTGTTATTACGTCAGCCAAAAATGTACATACCTTTAAATATATATACTTTGTTCTTAAATTTTTTTCTTCAAGATCTCTAGCGAGACAGCCGACAACCGCATGTGCGCAGGACAAACTCAAAACTCTGTTGTGCTTTGGTTTGGGTTTGGTTTGGTGTTGTTGTGGCTAAGGGGCCGTTAATACCCATACGTCATTGGGTGCGTTCAGACAACTCAACAATTGATCAACGGTTGAGAGATAATCACTTCTGATTGGATCATACTTTTGGAACCGCAGCAGATTGTGACCGAAACTGCACTTTCCGCTCGTATGCTGCTGCACTTCCTACCTCACTGTCCTATCTTTTCCACGGTCGCCAGACGGTTTATTCCCTTTCACCGACAAGGTTTTTAATATTAATTGAATATACTTAATCACGTACCGCTTTAACTATCACCACTTTCAACTTTTCGCTTGAATTCCTTTACGATGCGACTCGCCTTTTCGACTGTCGATTGTTCGAATCCTGTTATCAGCCCGTATAAATGTGATACATGGATACTTACCTTGAACCTCAGGTCAATAATACCTTAGTTCGGTTGATAATAATCTGACGAATCGGCTACCTCGTCCGGACGCGGCGAGATTGTCGCTGATTCGTCGGCTGCCCAATGGTCGTC